TGGGGAGGCCGAATCCCCGAGATCCAGGGAGTCTGGCACCAGCGACAGGCAGGGCGAAGCCAACACGGGGCTGTCCAGCGGTCCGGAGCCTGCACCGACGAGGGGGAGCGGCGAGCCCATGCTGGGCGGCAGCGTGGAGGTGGCCGCCGCGGCCGGAGGGGCGCGCGGCGCGGAACGGGGGAGCGTGGCTATCCTATCGAGACTATCGCAATTGGGGAAGTGGAATGCGCCTGTCCTTTGCAATTGTTTGAAATGTATTATGTGACAAAGGATGGAAGATCATGTCACTGCACTACTTATCCTCCCAGGAGTGCAAGAGAAGGTTTGCGGGCTACATATGTCATGATCATGTCATCTGATCTTGATGCTCGTTTGCAACAGTATGAGCTGTTCCTTTTAACTAGTCTTCTGATACTCTGATCCCGGTTGCCGTCACACACCCCAACCGGCTGTATAGCTCTGCCTTCGATACAAAATACTACTCCCCGGTAGAAAAAAAACGCAAGAACACTCTCCTGCGAACTGAAATGGTAGGCGAAGCGAAATCAAAAGAGATACTTGGAGACGTAGTACTTGGTGGTAGAACCAGCCCTGGGATTATCAGAACCAGTCTTGGGGTTGGGACCGACGATCTTGGGAACGGAGCTGGCCTTAGGTTTGGCGGCGGTGGCGGTGTTCCTGTCCCCCAGCCAGTGCTGCATGTGCACCCCGATGGCGTCCAGGTACATGGCGCTCCGGCCGTGAAAGCCGACCACCTTCCCCTGCGTGGTGGCGGAGGTGAAGTAGGTCCCGACCTCGTCGCCGAACGGCCCGTACTTGCCCCGGCTGCTGACGACGGTGATCGACCTCAGCACCCTGGGCCCTTCCCCCACGCAGGTGTTGTAGTAGCCGTATATGCAGATCAGCACCTCGTGTGGGTAGTCCAGCTTAATCTGCACGTACATTCGGTCAAGTGATGATCAGCAAAGTCTGCATAAGAGATGGGTAATTGGTCAAGTCGGCTCTGCTCTGCTCACCCTGTGTGTGATCTGACCGCCGTTGCCGTGCCTGGTAGACCAGACGGACTGCCCGCTCCGGTCATACTCGATCTGTATGGACCCGATGAAATCGTCTCTGGTTACGTAGATCTGCTTGATGCCCGTGTAGACGCCATCGTCCCACGGCTTGCCCCCCTCCCCTCCCCACGGCCCGGGCCCTATCGGTATCGGTTCTTTCACCACACCGTACGTAACCTGCAACATGAACCATCCACAATGTCAGACACATTCTTGACTCAGCACCAAGCAATGAATTCCCTCGACAAATCGATTTGACTCTACCTCGTCCCCGATCTCCCTCATCGGCAGTGCAAGCATGTCGCCCAACGGGGTCGTGCCGGCGGATTTCTCCGACAGCACCTTGCCTTCCAGGACATGAACCCCGATGCTGTCGACGTACCACGCTCCCCTGCCGTGGAACCCTACGATCCTCCCTTCCGTCAGACAGCTGGAGAAGAAGGTGCCGGTCTCGTCCCCGAACGGGCCGTGGCTCTTCTTCGTGGTGTGGAAGGTGATGGACTTGATCGCCGTCGGGCCCATGATCATCGTCGGCCCGAAGTACCCGGTGACGTGGGTCAGGATCTCCGTCGGGAAGTCGAAAATTATCTGCCCAAACAAAGTTCCCATTTCATAAAAAAGTCTGAAACTCATCGATGCTCTGAAACTCTGAATAGGAAATTGTGTTACCTTTTCTGGTCTAGCCGCCCCGCTGGAGCCGCGCTTGTCGCCCCAGATCGCCTGCCCGTTGCGGTCGTAGAGGACCTTCATGGAGGATATCCCCAGCCCTCGCGTGATGTTGATCTGCCGGACGCCGGTGAATATGCCGTCGTCGAATATGGTGCCGCCGGTGCCGCCCCACGGGCCGAACCTCACCGGAGTGCTTATGGTCATGGTCCCGTTGTCCGAGATGAAGCTAGGGAATGACACCATCTGTGGAGCAAGATGTTACAAGAAATGGATGTTAAATAACTTGATTGCATATATCACTTATACAGAACAGACTGTAATACAGTAGATTACAGGGCTTTAGTTTGCCTGGATGGATTACCTTGTTTGAGAGGGTTGCAATGCGTGATGGATCAGGATTCTGCTCCTTTGCAAGAACCATTTCATACCCAGCATTGCCATCCGCGTACTTATGGCCGTTTCTGTCGACGGACCTCGTTATGCTTCGGAGCGCCGACGGAGCGCTGGAAGGATTTGGATCCTTCCCGCTTAAGCTTGCAAGGCTCTAAAGAACAAGAAAAGTAAGAAAAATGTGTCCAAAACACACAAAACAATTCTGAAACAGCTCTATTCTATTCTACCTAGAAATTTGTGACATTCAGAATATTTTTATGCAGATACTAGTTCATACTTATGAGGTGATTTTGACCTCAGTGATATAACAAGTTGACATGCCAATTTCGGTCATGAACAATTCTGAAACAACATCCCTCAAGAACACAAGCATGCTACTGACAACTTAGTAAGCACTAGCAGTTCTGTCTTTGCAACCAAACACAAGTACAAGTGGACAACTAAGAACCTTCATTCCTCTAGGCAGACAAACAGGGAGGCAAACATGCAGAAACATACACAGTACAAGCTAGCAAGTGATCACGATCAGACAGTAAGAGTTGCGGTACCATGTTCCGCTGTCCAAACAAAGCCCAGAAGCGCCTTCAAGGTAGAGAGCTTTATAGACGGCGACGCCGAAACAGTGGAGCGCCTGCTGCAGTGCTGCTGGCGATCAGCTTGGTAGTCTGACAGGAAGCAGGGGCGTGTCTGCCTATTTATAATACAGAAGAGTTATAAGTACAAGGGATGTCAAATGGAGTACACCACGATGCTCAGCGACAGCACCGTTCACGAGCGAGGGCACCCAGACGAGAGCTGGAGGGAAAGCAACACGGCGCTCTGCTAACGGCTCAAGACGCCCGGCCCGGGGTCGAGCTAGAAGAGGGCGGGCAGAACTGGATTCGCTGACCATTGCGATCGCCGGTTACCAATATTATTCTGATCACGAGGAGACGAAAGGGGAACGATTTCTTGGATTGACACCAGCTGTGATTCCTCGAATTCACGGTGGGAAACTAAAGAAGCCGCCACTCCTGCTGCCCCCTCTTTATTTCGATTCTTCAGAGAATGTTTCGCTTTTGTTTCGCCGTTTTCTTTCACCTGTTGCGTGCATCACGATGATGCAGAGGCCGAGGCCTTCCCCTTTTCGAGAGAAGAAAAACCTCGTCCCTATGTGTCGGCCGTCCGACAACGCCACTGGCTCGGACAACTTGGTGGCCCCGTACCAGCTAATTCAACTAGGGAAGGACATGACGAGTTCCCGTAGTAGTCTGTCTCGTGTATCGGTGGAGTTTGTGCGCGTCAACACTGTTTTGTTCTCAGTACTCATATTCCACACATGCGGGGGCACTTTGCGGGGGCACTTCACTATGACCTCACCGAGATTCATGGATTTATCAACGGCTTCGTTCCGTTGTGGAGTTGGATGTTGGCTACATTAAACAATGGCGGTTCCTTTCGACTTAAAAGCAAAGAAATAAAACAACTGCAATCTATAAGTACACCACATTAACAAGATCAGCAAAGCGTTTGTTTGTTGCTCCTAGAAACCGCTACTCTTCTTTAAAATGCGGCAGAAAATCTGAAAGAGCCTCATTCTCGATCCTCCTCCTACTCTCTACAAGGCACGTCATGGCACCCAAGGAATTACTCCTGTCCGCCACCCTCCTCTTGCTTCTCCTCCGAGCTGCCACCGGGAACCTCCGGCACGAAAACGTCATCGATCGGTGCTGGCGCGGCCAGAGCAACTGGGCCACCGACCGGCAGCGGCTCGCCATGTGCTCCGTCGGCTTCGCGGGGAAGATGCGGCAGAACCGCGGCCACGGGGTGACCATGTACACGGTGACCGACCCAAGCGACGACCCCGTGCGGCCCAGGCCCGGCACGCTGCGGTACGGCGCGACGGTGCTACCGGGAAAGGTCTGGATCACCTTCCAGCCGGGCACCATGCACATCAGGCTGGCGCAGCCGCTCTTCGTCAAGAGCTTCACCACGATCGACGGCCGTGGCGCCGACGTGCACGTCGCCGGGGGCGCCGGCATTGTGCTCTACGAGGTGAGGAACGTGGTCATCCACGGGCTCCACGTGCACGGCGTCCGCGCGCAGCCCCCCGGGCAGGTCGTCCGGCCCGGCGGCGCCGTGCAGAACATGGACGTCGGCGACGGCGACGCCATCCGGCTGCTGTCCAGCTCCAAGGTGTGGATCGACCACAACACGCTAGCGCGGTGCGAGGACGGCCTGCTGGACGTGACGCTCGGGTCCACGGACGTGACCGTCTCCAACAACTGGTTCCACGACCACGACAAGGTCATGCTGCTGGGCCACGACGACCAGCACGTCGCCGACCGCCGGATGCGGGTCACCGTGGCGTTCAACCGCTTCGGGCCCCACGTGAACCAGCGCATGCCGAGGATCAGGCACGGCTACGCCCACGTCGTCAACAACTTCTACGACGGGTGGAGGGAATACGCCATCGGAGGAAGCATGGGGCCGACTGTCAAGAGCCAGGGCAACCTGTTCATCGCCTCCACAACAGACAGCGCCAATGTTGGTGCCTGATATTTTTTTTAAAGACGATTTGAGAGCTGTGGCGTTTGAAATTGCCAGAGCTCGCCTTCTGATCTTGGTATATTCTTTGCAGGTGACGAGAAGGATGCCTCTGGTCGGACATGCCGAGGGTAAGGACTGGCATTGGCACTCCAGTGGGGACTCGTTTGAGAACGGCGCCGTCTTTAAGCAGACCGGCAGCAGGGTGCGGCCGAAATACAACAGGCACCAGGCATTCCCAGCGGCGAGCTCCGGCGAGGTGAGATCGCTGACCAAGGACGCCGGTGCTTTGAGGTGCTCCGCCGGGGCCGCGTGCTGAATCGGAGAGAATAAAGACTTGCAATGGAGTGTGTTATAATTTGCTGATGCAACTTGTAGCTATAAAAATGGTCGGGACTTTACTCCCTTCGTTTATTTTTATTTATTTTTTTGAAAATCTCCCTTCGTTTATTTGTTCTCCCTACATTAGGTTCGTCGTAAGTCAAATTTATAAAGTTTGATCAAATTTATTATTATAAAATAGCAAGATCCACAATACCAAATAAATATAATCCATGATGTATCTAAAGATACTGATTTTTTATTGTGAATATTTACTTTTTTTTGGATAAACTTTGTCAAACTTCTTGAAACAAAACCTAATATGCGAAGTAAAAAAAAAGACTACTCCCTCTTCTGTTTACAAATGTAAAACGTTTTTGCAGAAGCGTCCTTTGCAAGCGCTTTTAGAGCAACTCTAGCAGACCCCGCATCCCGCCCCGACCCGTAAAATAACCGCCAAAATGCGGGTCGGGGCCGAAAAAGCATCCCGATCAGACCCCGCATCCCGTCCCGGCCCGTAATTTTTTTTGCGGGGCGCGGCAAAAGACCCACCCCAACCCGGGAAAACGCGGGTTTTTCCCCGCGGCTGCGGTGCCCTGCATATAAGCGGAAGCGGTTGGTGTGGGGGACATTTCATCCCGCGCTTTCTCCCACCAACCACCCCTACTCACCCCTCGCGCCGCCGACGGCCGCCGCCCAAGATTCCGGTGACAGCAGCCGGCAGGAGCACACCGGAAGGCCTCCACACGCACGAGGCCTCCCTTCCCTTCCCCCCTGCGTCGGCGGGCCGCCGGATTTGCAGATCTGCGGCGCTTCATCGCCGGCCGCCGGATTTAGCTTTTTTTCGGCCGCCGGTTGCTGCCTCAGGCGATGGAGTGGTCGGGGAGCCTCTCCCGCAGTCCACGCAAGGGCGCATCGCCGCATGCAGGCGTGGGTTCGTCCGCCCGCCGCCGCCGAAGGTTTGCGGGCATGGACTCGTCCGGCCGTCCACCGGGCTTAGTGCTCGCGCAGCGTCTTTGTGGCCTGTCGATGCCGCTCACACAGTGCGACGACTGCTCGCGCCAAGTGTTGCGGCTCACTTCGGGCATGCCGAAGCACCCCGGATGGGTGTTCTACAAATGCGAAAACGACGGGGTACGTGCACTTGCGGTATCTTGTTCCATAGCTCATTCTTTAGTTCAAGTATGGTAGCTCATTTCGAGATTGTTCAATCTTTTATGTAGGACGATGGATGCTCATTTTGGTTTTGGGAAGGCCAATTGATGTAGGGCAGAACCCTAGGGGCCGATCTTTCATGTTTGGAGAGGATCCTACGGGGAACACGAAGAACGCGTGGAAGAACACGAGGGAAAATCGTGAGGGAGAAACAAGAGAAACACTCAACCAAACACGGAATTGATCACACAAGTGCTAGATCCAAGAAACACAAAGAGATACACGAGATCCAAAGTCAATAACGGACGATACAAGTGGCGGTAGCTCATCTCCGAGAGGAGGTCTTGAATCCACGAGGGATCTTCCCATAAAGGGGTCTTGAATCCATGGTGGATCTTCTCCGAAGAGGCCGCAGTTTCTCACGAGGAGGAGATCCGTATGGATGAGCAAAGCTCTATCTCAAGTGAGCTAATCCTTTGCTAACCCTAGCTAGGACGTGGGAGAGGTCTATTTATAGTCATAGTGCAAATGGGAGTCGAAGTGAAGGGGTACAAGGGCATCAACCCGAAGCTGCGGGCACACAGGCAGCGGACGTCCGGTCTCTACCGGTCGTCCGGTCGCTCGCGGAGGTCCGGACGTCTGGAAGGATCGGGCATCCGCTAGTTTGGCTCGGGTGCAGGTATGCCGGACGTCCGGTGCGGCCGGTTGTCCGCTCGCTGGGATGTTGCCGGACGTCCGGTCTGGACCGGTGGTCCGCTCACTGTAGCGTGCGTCTGCTGGGTCTTGGCCAGGCTGGTCATCAGGTGTCGGACGTCCGGTCGCCAGCGGTCGTCCGATGGCTGTAACTTCGTTGGGGTCTCTTCTTCTTAGTTCTTGTACTTGGCGTCCTCGCTAGCTCGTCCGTTGGATGTGGTGGCTCCGTGGCTTTCCTCTAAGTACCTGATCATGCATAGCACACATGTTGGAGGTAGTAGCCATGTCTCACATGTAGAAAGTGACGATTCGGAGAGGAGCGAGTTCACCTTGTGTCCAATGGCGTATGTTCGAGGTCTCGTCATATGTCCTCTTGGGGTTTGGAGAGTAGTCAGAGTGTACATGGGGATGAACGTGGGATGCTCCGCATCATCTCCCCCTCCCCTTGGGAAAGATCCAACCTCGGATCGTGATCCTCATCACCATGGAAACAGTTGACGTGGACGTACTTGTAGTTGGACGAACTTGAAGGCATGGTGCAATCCAAGTACTCCAAGGTGTCTCCGGTATGTGGTACATGCAAAATGAGCAAACACAAGCGACACTCGGAAATACAATGGTTAGAGCACACAAAATGTCCATCATGTAAGAATGAGTCCGTTCGGCAAGATTGTGCGTGGCAAAACACATGATGCTTATCAAGATGATCTAGAATGACATGCAAAGCATTCATGGGAACAAAAGCATGGTGCACAAAGCGACAAATTCTACCATTGTGCAAAATGATGTCATAATGTGATGGTTTATCAAGAGCATGAACATGGTAATTGGTGCTCAATGTGATTATGTTGTCATGCAATTGATGATGGGTAATATGATCATGATGTATGAATATGCCATCAAGGAAGATCACAACAAATTTGCTAAGGAAGTGAACAAGCTCATATATAATGGATGACATGGGAAGACAAGATGCAACAAGGCAATCATAATGTGAGCCAATCCATGCATAGGGTGCAAACTTGTGGTGAGTATGATATGTCCATCGAGCATGACATGTATGAGCACAATCAACAAATATGGAGGTGTTGGTGTACCAATGCTCGATGTCGTGGCAAGAGTGGAGTTCCGAAGGTGCATCCAATAAGTGCGAGCGCTCCTCAATGTGAAGGTCCATAGATCCAATCTCCAATGTCGCTCCTCCATCCAATAGATGTAACATGTAGACAACAAGAAGGAAACAACAATGAAAGAGTGACCCATCCAATATCCGTATTTGAGGATGGCTCAAAGGGAAGGAGTTCACCTTTATGAGAATGTTGAAAATGTTGGTGCCACACATCGTGTATGCCTTTGCATGACCAAGTTGTCTCGTCATGGTATCGCCTTGTGAATCCTTCAAAACGAAAGAACATGACAAACACTCAGAAAAACAAATGAGGTTAGCGGAAGTGCAAAACCTATCATTCGTGTGGTAAGATACCCAACAAGTGTATGCATCATGTTCATCATAAGAAAGGACAAGGGAGCATTTCATAGTATGGAGGCATATGATGCAAGAACAACCAAATACAATAGGCTCAATCAAACAAGCATGCTTCACAAGTAATATGTCAAAGTCTCCAAGATCAATAAGCATAGAATGGTTGCACTCAATACAAGTGGATATGAGAGAGGCAACTAATGGACACAAGAGACAATGATCAAGATATATCATGTGAGAGGCATGAGCATATATGTCATCAACCCAAGAAAGCAAGTAATAGTGGAACATGGGTGATGCAACATTGCAAGCAATCATAGCGAACAAGTCAAGCATGCTAGTAGTGCGAAGATGCAACATACTAGAGGGAATAATGGCAAGCATGTCATGTGTGTAAATAGTGGGCATGAATAATGCACATGACATATCACAAGCATGAAAGCAAGATATGAGTAGAATGGCATGAATGTATTGGCGAGAGGCCATATGTAAATAGCAATGGGGCATCATGACTCTACCAACACAACAAGCATCAATAGCATGGGGCACATGATAAACATGGCAAAAGCAACAAGGGGATCTCCACCAAGCATGCAAATACACATGGGAGTATCATAATGGTGAAGCATGGGTAGATGCAAGCAAGGGTCACAATTGCATGGCAAAATCATGTAAAGAGGCATAACATGCAAAGTGAACACGATAGTATGGGCATAAAGGGACAAGTGATATATAGCTCATAGCCGTGTGAGAGCCAAGAAAAAGAGATGTGTGTAGTCCTTGCGCAAAGGGAACGGTGGTAAGGATAGTCCACGGGATCCCAAGTCATCGTTGCTCTCAAGAGCTCGTTTCGTCAACTCTTGGGATTGAGATGTTGACGAGTATACGTGAGTACCTACACAAAACAAAGACAAAGGAAAAATTGTGTGTGCATGATATATGTACACATCATCCATCATGATGGGCACGTGCATGTGTCGGTTAGCACAAAATATCCAATGCTCAAATAAATGAGATGCGTGATATAGAAACATGTCATCCATCATGAGAGGTTTGTTGTTATGTATGACATAATGGAGACCCAAAGGATGTAATGCATCATGGGAAATATCTAGAACATTGTTATTCATGTAATGCATATGGTGCAAGCAATTATGGGAATCATGCAAAGTATGAAATGCATCAAGATCTCCTAATATGTATGAGAAAACTATGGGGGTCTCCTCATGAGCATGAGTAGCAACATCACATGGAGAATATTGACAACATCCAAAACAATGCATATTTGGAACAATGTGATCATGGCATGGCATAGTAGATGAATTGCGCAAATCATGTAAAGGAAGCATGGCAATATCATCACATGAAAAACAAATGCCAATGACCATCATCTCGTCATCTATGCCATAAGTGCATATGGGATTGATTTTAATGGGGCATGCATAGTTACTATGTTGAGATTGTAATGATTCAATATGGGAGATCTCACTCTAGCATATGAAAAGTTCAAAGGGTTGTCAAACATGATGTGACCAAAAGAATTTTCACATGATATCCTATAGAGCATAGCATCACAACTGGGCAACTCAACATGCTCATCATCATATTTACCATAAATAGGTAAGTCAAGGCATGAAGAAGTCTCACTAGCATGAAGCATGGGAATA